CCCTCCCCCCCCAGGCTCCAAAGCGAGGGCCGAGCGGCGTTCGCAGAGCGTTCCCTGCGCATGCACAGGGGACGCTCTGTCAGTTTCGGGGGGATTTAAACATCCCCCCAATATTATTCCCGGGGTTTCAGATTTTTGTGCACACCTGGGGACCGCCCCACGTGTGCCCAAAAATCTCTCTCCCCCCAGGTGCCCCCGATGTGCGGATACTGGGGGTGACTTGAGAATTAGATATATAGATAGGGTGACTGGCTCATTTCCACTATAGGAAGGGCACTTCCAGTGGAGGGGGAGGGAGTCTCCATGCACGCCTTCACACTGCAGAACCCGACACACCCCAGGCACCGTTCCAGGGGACGGCACTGTCGCGCATTGCGTGTGTTTGTGTGAACCAGCACCTTGAAGCAATTTTGCACGCACAGCAGACTATCTCTCACCAGAGGCTTCCAGTAGTAAACCACACTTACTCAGTCCAGTGGTAACTACGTACAGGAATTCATTTACAGTATATACAGTCCTCAGACAAAGTGCTTCGCCAGACTCCATTTACCAACAAGGGGAACAGTACATTGGTACATTTCTACATATATGCATAGTGTCAGCCAATCAGGACAGTGAACATAAGAACATAAGAGATGCCAATGTTGGATCAGGCCCCTCTGGATGATTCCCCAGCCCGGGAATCATCCTATCTCAATCTTTGGGCGCCACCTGGAGAGTTGGCAGCCACTCTAATTTGGGGGCATCTGGGTTCCTTTGGCCTCCCTTTGCCTCTCTTCAGGTGCGCTGAATGGGGATTCGCACGCACACCCCTAGTGATTGCTCACGTCACTTGCACAGGCCCTGCCTGCCCCCCCCCTTCATTTATACTGCAGAAATCCTCAGGTTTGGACTGAGTCCAGTAAACTGGATGACTGGCGCAGAGGTTGTTGGGGGGGGGTGTTGAGATTGCTCTGGTTCTGCAGCTGGGCATGGCTGCCATTAGCAAACATGCTCCCCTATGTAGGCCGCTGCCACTGCAGAGGGGAGAGATTGTTTTGCTTTTGGGGTTTTTTGGGCACTGGCACATTGGTACACTTGTGGTGGACTGGTTCTGCTGCTGGGCCTGGCTGGCTG